CATAAAAAATAAAAGAACTAAAGAGATAGGCACTTTGGAGCCAACAACTGCCCCCCCCCCCCCCCCCATTTAAAAACAGTAATAATTCTTGTGCCAAAATCAGGAAAAGACCCAAGGAAAGTCGAGAATTACCAACCAATATCCTTATAAGAAATTCCAGGAAAAACATTTGAAAAGATTATTAAGGATTGCATTATGAGCTACATGGAAGAACACAATCTCTTTAATATTAACCAGTATGGAAAAATATTTGAAAAGATTATTAACCAGTATGGTATTAGAAAATGGAGAGGCACCCAACAAGCTATTGCTGCCATATACAAAACATCACCATTTCTCAAAGAAACCAACAGCAGTGCAACATAGTTTGACATTGCCGAAGCTTTTGACAAAATGTGATACAAAATACTGCGATACATACTGCAGATCAGTGTACCAGGTATCATTGAAAAGACCCTCTGCAACTTCATGGAGGCTCAACATTAAGTCGTCCTCTTTTTATAGTTTACATGGCAGACCTCAAAGGACCCAACAAAAGCTGCAGTGATGCTAGCTCTAGTAACTCAGATCATATTATATCCATTATAGTCAAAAGAAAGGATAACTAAAGTATCTGTAACCTTCATTATCAGAACTGCTTGACAAATATATAATCGAGGCAATAATCACAAGATTCTTCACTCTTCAAAAAACAAAATCTAGGATAAAATGTCTTTCACAAACATAGAACTGGTCGGAACTTCTGAGGAAACCTCACAGAATAGATCACAGCTGGTGGACAGGAATCACTCTATACTTGAAGAACAGACCACCAGATCCAGACTATGCGGCAGTGCTGTAAAATAGACATGAAACACTCTTGTTTTTCCATTAACAGCAAATAATTTACAAAGGTTGTAAATATTGTATAAAGTAATCTTAAGATTTGTATTACGATAATGATAAAGAAAGCAGCAAGTGATTAATTTTCCAGTCATGTTCTTTGCACGATCAGGCTTTTGTGTCTTCCAGGACCTCCCCCTCCCCCCCCAAAAAAAAAAAAAAAATATCAGCAAATAGATGAAGAAAAAGAATAAGAAGAACCCAGTTTATTCATGTGAATGCCGATAACAACTTAAATTTTTGTTTGTATTTTTGGCATTTGAAATGTTCAATTTATATCTAGGTAATCTGACAGTTTAAAAATTGTATGTGTTTCTCCACATGATTGTATCTCATTTTCTACACACATATGTATCAACTGACATTTAAGAGATGAATGTGATATTGTAGGCACAAATTACTCCTCTCCTCTCCTCTCCTCCCCTCTCATTTACTCAGCCCTCTCTTCTGTTATCTTATCTTATTATATCTTATCTTATCTTATCTTCTCTCCTTTATTTCAAGTCCTCCTCCTCCTCCTCTTCGCTCCTTGTCTTGATCTGTTACTCAGTCCTCATCCCCACTTTTGCCTCGCTTTTAAACTGCGTCAGGGCTTTCCCATCTTCTCATTTCTATTTTGTCTCTTGTTCCTGTCTCCTCATTCATCATTCCTTTCCTTTCCTTTCCTTTCCTTTCCTTTCCTTTCCTTTCCTTTCCTTTCCTTTCCTTTCCTTTCCTTTCCTTTCCTTTCCTTTCCTTTCCTTTCCTTTCCTTTCCTTTCCTTTCCTTTCCTTTCCTTTCCTTTCCTTTCCTTTCCTTTCCTTTCCTTTCCTTTCCTTTCCTTTCCTTTCCTTTCCTTTCCTTTCCTTTCCTTTCCTTTCCTTTCCTTTCCTTTCCTTTCCTTTCCTTTCCTTTCCTTTCCTTTCCTTTCCTTTCCTTTCCTTTCCTTTCCCTTCCCTTCCCTTCCCTTCCCTTCCCTTCCCTTCCCTTCCCTTCCCTTCCCTTCCCTTCCCTCCCTTCCCTTCCTTCCCTTCCCTTCCCTTCCCTCCCTTCCCTTCCTTTCCTTTCCTTTCCTTTCCTTTCCTTTCCCTTCCCTTCCCTTCCTTCCCTTCCTTCCCTTCCTTTCCTTTCCTTTCCTTTCCTTTCCCTTCTTTTCCTTTCCTTTCCTTTCCCTTCCTTCCTTCCTTGTCCTTTCCCTCTTCCTTCCTTCCTTTCCTTTCCTTTCCCTTTCCTTCCCTTCCCTTCCCTTCCTTCCTTTCCCTTCCCTTCCCTTCTCTTCCTTCCCTTCTTTTCCCTTCTTTTCCCTTCCTTTCCCTTCCCTCCCCATCCCTTCCCTTCCCTTCCCTTCCTTTTCCCTTCCCTTCCCTTCCTTTCCCTTCCCTTCCTTCCCTTCCTTTCCTTTCACTTCCCTTCCTTTCCTTCACTTCTTTCCTTCCTTCCCTCCTTCCCTTCCCTTCCCTTCCCTTCCCTTCCCTTCCTTTCTTTTCCCTTTGCTCATTCTCTTCCCTTCAATTTCCCTCCTTCCCTTCCATTCTTTTTTCTTTGCTCATTCTCTTCTCTTCCCTTCCATCCTACTCTTCCCTTCCCCTCCCTTCCCTTCCCTTCCCTTCCCTTCCCTTCCCTTCTCTTCCTCTCATTCCCTTCCCTTCCCTTCCACTCCCTTCCCTTCCCTTCCCTCCCCTTCCCTTCCTTTCCTTTCCCTTCCCTTTCCCTTCCCCTTCCCCTTCCCTTCCCTTCCCTTCCTTTCCCTTCCTTTCCCTTCTTTTCTCTCATTCCTTTCCTTTCCTTTCCCTTCCCTTCCTTTCCCTTCCCTTCCTTTCTCTTCCCTTCCCTTCCTTCCCTTCTCTTCCCTTCCCTTCTTTTCCCTTCTTTTCCCTTCCTTTCCCTTCCTTTCCCTCCTTTTCCCTTCCTTTCCCTTCCCTTCCTTTCCTTTCCTTTCCTTTCCTTTCCTTTCCTTTCCCTTCCCTTCCCTTCCTTCCTTTCCCTTCCCTTCCTTTCCCTTCTCTTCCCTTCCCTTCCTTTCCCTTCCCTTCCTTTCCTTTCCTTTCCTTCCTTCCCTTCCTTCCTTTCCCTTCCTTCCCTTCTCTTCCCTTCCCTTCTTTTCCCTTCTTTTCCCTTCCTTTCCCTTCCCTTCCTTTCCTTTCCTTTCCCTTCCCTTCCCTTCCTTCCCTTCCCTTCCTTCCCTTCTCTTCCCTTCCCTTCTTTTCCCTTCCTTTCCCTTCCTTTCCCATCCTTTCCCATCCTTTCCCAACATAAGCCATAAACCTACAGGAATTCCTGCTTTGTGTTGAGCTGTGTATATTGATTGCCGTGTCTGTAAGGAGAGGGAGCGAGGAACATGACGGGCAAAAATTGGATTTCTTTGTGTGCACGGTAATGAAAATGATTTACCACAGTTTCATCTGTTCTCGTTTACAGTTCGTGGAATGTGGGGGAAGTTTTGAAATAGTGGACTTTGTCTGTCTTTTATTTGTCTTGTGTCTTTCTTTTTGGTCTTTCTCCCATTTCCTTTTTGTTCTCTTTTTTCTCTCTTCTCTTCCCCTCTACTTCTCCGTCCACTCTTCTCCTTCACTATTTCCTCCTCCACTCTCCCTCTCTTCTTCCCTCCCTTCCTCCCAATATCTTATTTTTACCCCTCTTTCCCTTCACTTTCTCCCTTCCCCCTCCATCTCTTGCTTTCAATCTCTTTTATCTCTCTTCCTCCCATCCTCCCCATCTTTCTCTCCCTCCCTCATTCTCTCTCAATCCCTTTCTTTTTCCTCTTTTCCATCACTTCTTCCCACCCCCCCTCCATCTCTCTTTCTCATGATCTATTTATCTCCCTCCCTCCTTCCTTTTTCCCCCACCTCCTTCCCTCCTTCCTCCCCTCCCTCACTTCCTCCCCTCCATCACTTCCTCCCTTGCTCCCTCCCTTCCACCCTTCCACCCTTCCTCCTCATTGTTCTCTGCCTCCCTCCCTTCCTCCTCTCCTACCCTCCTCCCCATCTCTCTCTCTCTCTCTCTCTCTCTCTCTCTCTCTCTCTCTCTCTCTCTCTCTCTCTCTCTCTCTCTCTCTCTCTCTCTCTCTCTCCCTCCCTCCCCATCTTTCCCTCCCTCCCCCATGCCCTCCCCCCTCCCATCTTTCCTCACAAGTCTCCAGATGAGAAAAGTATAGATTTTACATCTCTCAGGGAAAGGAATGTTTGAGGTTAAAGGTTTATCATTTTTGTAGTTTTTGTTGTCGTTGTCTTCATCAGGATCGTTGTTCATTGTTCATTATGCATCAGTAGCATGATCAGCATGAATATTAACATTATCATCAACTTTATTCTTCATTTTTCATCATCATCATCATAATCAGTCATTATTCTTTATTCATCAATGTCAGCATTTATCATCCATTAATATTATTGTTTTTTCATTATTTATTAATATTATTGTTTTTCATTATTTATTAATATTATTGTTTTTCATTATTTATTAATATTATTGTTTTTCATTATTTATTAATATTATTATTTTTCATCATTCACTATTCATTCATTACCATGATGATGATAACGATGAATTGATTTATACAGATTCTTTTTACTTTTGCTGTTGTTTTTCCTCATGTCAGTTTTAGTATTATGTTCCTGTTATATATATTTTGGTTAACTTGTATATTTGATTTTGATATTTTGGGCACTGTAGCCAAAATCATATAATTAGAGTATTTGATTTGATTAACTATTTATTTTTTCTCACTAGACTATTTACAAATTGGAGGCACTTTTATTGATGAAGGAATAAGAGGTATGACTAATTCTCGATCTGAATCCTCTCATTGATTTTATGGAAGAGAAATTTGCTCACTACCTCCAGTGTCATTGCTGCATAATATGATCATTTGTGATTTCTTCCTGTTACTTGGAAACACTTGAAGGAGTTTACTGGTTATCAGAAAGAATTAAATCATAGCTTGTTACTTTACAAGGGTGATGGCATAGATGTAGTTTACTAGAAAGTGACCGTAGTTACTAGAATGTTAAAAGCAAATAAATATCTGTGTTGCTATCATTGTATCATCACTATATTTGAAGATGTTCTTAATCAGTATGCACAGTTGTCACCATAACCACCATTATAATCATCACTAAAATTATTACTCTTTTTTGCAGATCCACGCTTGACAGCTTAGGACAACCCTGAACCAGCCAAGATGTCGGTGCGCAGCGGTCGTGTTGTGAAGACAGTGCGGACCCTCACCCGGCCGGCACTGGAAGCAGCCTGCGCATACTCTGGCTACAACTGTACTCTGGTATGGTCTTAGCGTTCCTTGGTGTTTTGTGTGCAGCGGTATGTGAGGACAGTTTATGGGGGATGTTTGGATGTTTGTGGTCTATTTGAGGAGTTTTGGTGTGAGAAGGGATATTTCCTTAGTATGGATAGGGTAGAGGTTGTGTGTTTTGGTTTATTTGATTTGTAGGGTTTTTATTTGGTGTGGGATGGGGAGCATTCTTAATCCTTTATGTGTGGCTGTTGTCCCAAGATGTGTATGGAAGTTCTGCTGTCTGCTCAGAGAATGCCTCACTCTCACTTTGAGAAGTTATTGTAGTCATTCATTGGGATGAAGTGAAATTTTTCATATGATTTCTAAATATGCTTGTTTCTTAAATACATTTACATATGTTAGCATTTTATAGAATCTTTATGATATGTAGTAGACTGTTTACTATATTTCTAATTTTGGATGATTTTAAAAAGTTCGTTATTTCATAAGTCTGAATTTTTATTGCAAGGGTATAATGATGATATTGATCTGTGTTGCAAATTATAGCACTTTAGATTCAACACATATTTAATGAAGTTTTCAACTTCCTCAGTTTATTACCAATTTTGCAAATGTAAGATATTAGTCGTTTTGTTTTGTGTCTGTTGATCTAAATGTGTCTCTTGGTATTTTCTATTCAAAACATGTCTGGCTTGGGTTTCCTATTGTTTCAAATGCAAAATATTAGCTTATTTTTTGTGTATCACAGAGAAAGACCCAAAAATTCTCTTGTGAGGGCATAGCTGAGGATGTCTTGATATTACATGGCATGGGTGAAGCAAGCTAAGGGTAATGATGGTGTGTGAAGAGGCCTTGATCAATTAGTAGCATGGAGAAGCTGTCAGTCATTGCTGAGGTGGGGGGGGGAGGGTGGTCTGGGAAGGAGAC